TCATTGCCTCCAACACCGTCAATGGACGGCCCATCCAGGACACCCTGCATCCTATACCCATTCTCCACCACCACCTCAGCCATGGGCACATTAGAACCTTGGAGCACCCTAGTGTAGCGGGATCAGTGAGCAGGTTCACGCAAGGGCATTAGGACATAGTGTGCCCTAGTCTTCCCAGTATCAAACCTCCTCTTCAGTGTGAAATCACCGCCAAAATTTGCATTCAAATGGACACAAAGGTCGTTGAAGCTAGGAGGTTCATCAAACTATTCCAATTCTTCTTCCATATCCTTAAACATATCATCTTCTCTCCCAACACTTCCTCCGTAAAAAACTCTAACACAACAATCCATCTACAAAAGTATTTCAAGAAACTTTATCAAGTCGTCGAAATCGCCGTACGTACTGTCCATAGTAATATTAATACCTATTCTAACTATAACTATACTAACTAATCTAATATTAACATCTATACAAGACTAACTACAACAACTAATTATACTAAATACAATGTATAACTAGAGTCACTAACTGTACTAACAAAACTAACTAACTTTACTAACTATACAAACTTACTATACTGCCTATACTAACTAAACTAACTAACTTTACTAACTATACTAACTTTACTTATTGTACTAACTTACTATACTAACAATGTCGATTCAATCAACAAATATACTAGGGGAGTACCTCGCGGCAGCGGCGGCGGCACTCGTCCTCGCGGCAGCAGCGTGCGCTCGACCTCGCGGCGATGTCACGCTAGACTGGGCCGGGAGGCACGGGCGCTGGCCTCGGCGGCAGCGGCGGGTGGACACGGGATAGAGAGTGGGGTGTGCAACAGTTGGGAGCGGTGTATAGCGGCGGCGCGGCAGTGAGGGTCGCGGCGGCAGTGGCGGGCGTAGCAGTGTAGGCGGCGGCGCGGCAGTGAGGGCGGTGGTGGGCGCACCGACATTCGTGGCGCGGCCGGCGCGGCGGGCGTGGCGCGCTGGTGTGCGTGGCGTGGCCGGCATGGCGGATGGCGTGTGGGCGCGGTGGGCGTGGCGCGCCGGCGTGCGTGGCGCGGCGGGCGGTAGGCGAGCACGGCGGCCGCGGGCGTGGTGAGCGGGCGCGGTAGGTGGTTGGTGGTGGGCGCGGCGTGCATGCGGGGGCGTGTGCGGGTGCGGTGGCGTGGCATGGTAGGACAGGGCCGCGGTCCTATGTTAGGCTCTGCCGTGCCTTGGCGAGTGGCGCGACGGAGCTAGCCACGTCACCGGTCAGGGCCCTGGCCGCTGCCACGTAGGTAGCCTTGCCGCGCCCCCATGCATGGCGCGGCAGCGTTAATTTGCCACGCTGTGCGAATAGGCACGGCCAAAAGCGTTAGATTTGAAGGGGAAAAAAATAGTGTTAGTTTTAAAATTAGTTTAAAATATGTTAAAAATAAAAAAAAATTCCCATCGAAGGAGGGTTAGGGTTTGGTTCTTTGGGGATTGGGAATGAGAGCTTCAGAGAGGGAGAGGGTTGGTTGGGGATTTTAGGCATGGTGAGAGGGGCCTGGGGTTGTGGGCCGGCTCGTAACACCCTAAAATTAGCATATTTTTAAAATAGCTTAAAATGATTTATTTATTCATTTTTGTGAGCATTTGAAACTTAGAAAAATAAAAACTTTGTTAAAATTAAAATCAAATATAAGGCTTAGCAACATTGTGGTGCATTCGGGAGGGTGCATTTGTATTTTTGTAATGGGTGGTTTTGGTCTAAATTCAAAACATTTCAAACTATTTTTGAAAATGATTCAAGATGGTTTTGAAATAAATAAAAAATAAAAAAATAAAACCTCACCCTCTCTCCATTCGGCCCGCCAGCCTACCCTTGTTTTCCTCTCGCATGCCAATTGGCCAGTTCCCGCTCCCCTCTCTTCCGCAGCGGCCCAGCTACCATCGTCTCTCGCGGCCGCTCCAGCTTCGCCCTTCCCCACGCCTCCGCGCTAGCACACCGGCCCAACCCTGCTTGGTCTCCCTCCCTCCATCCTAGGCCAGTCGCAGCAAGCCGGCCTAGCGTCGCCCGCGCCGCTTTCTTCTCTCCGCGCCCTGGTCTCGTTGGCTGGTGGGGCCCGCTGGACAGTCTTCTTCTTCCTCGCACAGTAGTCGACCCGAACACCGCCGCCGAAAGACTCCGCCACCGCCACGCCTCCGCGCCTTGTCGTGCGCGCTATGCCAACCGCCCTCTTAAATAGGAGCTCTTGAGCCACGCCGCCCCCCGCATAACCCTCAGCACAGTCGCCGTCTCGCTAGAGCTCGCAGCGTCGCCGCCAAGCTTGAAACCCTAGCTACCATGCTCGCCGTCGCCCCGCCGAGCCGCCCGCCATCCTCGTTTTATTCTTGCCTTTGATTTTGTTCATGGTGAGTTCACCATTTCCCTCTCTTTCTCCCGGTGCTTCCGATTTGCTCTCGCGTGGCCTCTAGGGCCATTTTAGCGACTTTCTGGCGAAGTGCTCGCCGCCGGCCATGTCCACCGCCGCGTCGGCGTTCATATCACCACCATCCAATCTCGATCCGACTGCTCAAATCCAACCTTACCCCTTCGCTATGATTTTTGCTAAAGAGCCCATGCAGTTTTACGTAATAGAACCCGCGGTCCAAGGCGTACCTCCAGAATATGTTTTCTTTTTCTGGAAAGCGTAGATTCCCTCTGTTAGATCCAAAATACGCTTTCATCTATTTATAGTTTTGCAACTATTTTCTTTAGGCCATAACTTCTTTGTTTTAACTCTGATTTGATCTGTTCAAGTTGCATTAGATTCATAATTGAGTAATCTACATGTTCATCCTACTGTTAAATATATTTTCAACTTTTGAAATTCGAGGTTAGATTTAATCTATTATTTTATTAAAGAAAATATTGTTTAATTTATATTTTTTTCTTTATAGCTCCAATTAGAGTGCTTTTCGTGTTTGTGTGTTCGTAGCAACGTATAGAACATCTTTAAAACCCTTTTACTTGTTGTTTCATATGTTTGGTGTACTATTCTAATTTAGCTCTATTATTTGCTTCATGTATGATTGCATGGATGCTTGTGTGGTGCTTTATGATCATGTCCAGTCGATGAGCTTTGCGTTGGTAATATAGAAGAAGTTGGTGATACAAAAGACGTCCTTTGAAGGTTTTGACTTGAAAAAGGATCTCAGTTTAAGGCAAGTATAGCATAGGATCTTCCTTGTTGTCCTATACACCATTAATAATTTAATTATATGCATGTGTCTACTTGGCAACCATAGTAATTTTCCTAGCTATTTGATGTCTTGGATTCCTTGATACCTATGGGGTGTTGCATTGGGTAGTATGATGCTAGTGCTCAACTAAAGTCATGATCTTGTAGCTTGACTAATGGTATATGCAATAAACACTAAAAGATGCTTTTTAGCAAGATAGAATCAAAGGGCTAGAGCATTGGGCTATTACTATGGTGCTCTAGATTTCTCTCCCTAAGGACTTATCTATAAGTGATCATTCGGGACTTATAGTACAACTGTGAGGGCTACATGGCTCTAGCTTTAGTCAAGTATGAGAACCTTTTCTAGCTTGTTAGTGGTTACCTTTTTGGCGCAAGAGGGGCTCCGACTTGTATGACCTTGGCCTGCCAAGTTAAGTGTATTTTGGCTTCTTGGTCTTTTGTCAGTCACTCCTTGGAGGGGAGTTCATGCTTATTGATGGGGAAGCCTAGCGGCCCTAACTTGTTAGGTGAACATTTGAAAGGCTTCATAGGAACCCTGCCGACCTTCCTAGGTTGTGGGTCAAGTGGCTAGCTACCTCGGGTAAAAGAGTAAATCACGACTCACAGTGAAAGTGTACAACATCTGCAGAGTGTAAAGCTGGTATATCAGTCGTGCTCACGGTCACGAGCGGCCTTGGAACTCTTACGGAATAGATGATGAATACTGATGGTACTGATAATAAAGATGCTCACTAATAATTACTGTTTATGCTATTCATTATTCATATTTACCTGATCATGTGTTTATATGGGCTTATGATAAACTTGTTGCTACTCAATTGTTAAAATCATGACTCAATAAGAGCTAATCGCAGTTAAACCAGTGTCAGCCTTTTAAGCCTCATGAACCACATGTTATATTTGTTGAGTACGACATGTACTTACGCTTACTTTACTTTTCAAATCTTTGGAAAAATCCCGGGTGGGTACCAGATTGCTAGAGTTCGAAGAAATTAGCCTTGTGATCAACCAGTCAGTTGTCCCTGTGGAATTAGAATCTTCACACGAAGATCGGAGTTGTCTTTCCGCTGTTTGCAATTTAAGGTTATATCTCTTGTAATAATACGTTATATTAAGTATTGTCTTTTGATATCGTCCCTTATTTGTAGCTATATGTGAGAGTTGACTTTCTGGACTCACATATGTTGCGTATCTGTTTTTGTTCTTAAAACCGGATGCTACACGCCTTGGAGAATTGGCCACAGTAGGCACCTGGGCAGCGGCGGATCCAGGAAATATTTTAGGGGGGGCTGAACAACACTGCTGCTCGATCTTAAGTCTCAGCCCCCCACTACACTATAGAACTTTGCCTAAAAATTCATAGGGACTCTACAATAATTTGCACTCCGCCCCTGCACCTGGGAGAGATTGAGAGTGGGGCTGGGTCTAGGAGCCAGTGATTGGTTGATTTTGGTTTTACAGCAGAAATCAAGACACATATTGACAACCGAACTTCGAGAAATTCAACTAAAAACCTTAAAAACAATACGTTTGGTTGGGTTCGGTTTTCGAAAAAAGTACCCAGTCTTAATGGTTGGGTTCGGGTTTGTAACAAATTAACTTTCGCAGGAAATACTAGAATCTACAAGGCGCTATATGACAAAATGCCACACAAGTTGAGCGGCTTTGTTTTTCATTTTGTTTTATCTTACACCCCAGGACCCACAGTTAATGTGTAGGACCCCTACCAGTAGGTAGGTACACTACTCATGTGCACGGCACACGCCTCGTTGGGGCCCTATCTAAACTAGCCGCTGAACGGGCGATACACTTTGAGCGCGCCGATGACGTCGGCGATGGATCCGGCGGCGGCGGCGACGGACACGACGAGACAGGCGGCGCTGAGCATCTGGAGGCAGATCCAGTGCGTGCTCCCTCTGCGCACGCCGCGCTGCACGACGTACATCTCGATGGGGAAGTAGACGGTGAGCGGCCAGAAGGAGACGGCGCCGAGGAGCCCCACGACGTCGCCGAAGAAGGGGAGCAGCATGGCGACGACGGTGGTGAGGCAGACGAACGCCGTGCGCCAGGCGAGGCGGAACGCGCTGAGCTTGAAGGGGCCGACGCGGCCGAGCTCCCGGGCGATGAAGGCGCTGTCGGGCCACGTGGCCGCCGCCCACTTCTCGACGAAGGCGAAGAGCGGCTGGCAGAAGACCTGGTAGGCCCCGACGAGGTGCACGACGATGGCGACGTTGGCGATGTCGAGGAGCCAGAAGGGCTCGTAGAAGCCGAACCCCGTGAGGAGGTTGTCCGGCGCCGCGTCGCCGAAGGCGGCGTAGCCCATGCACCCGCACAGCATGTAGAACACCGTCGTCGTCGCCACGCTCACCATCGTCGCCCTCTTCATCACCTTCGCCTCCGACGGCGGCGGCGCCTTGATCGTGTCCTGAACAAACAAGCATCCGGTAGATACATGGTCAGGAACAGAGGAACAGAGCAGCGGCGTCGTAAAACTGTTGCAGGCGATCAGAACAGAGCAAGTAGGCTTTTCTTTCTTGCCTGGATCTCGATGAGGATGATGGAGTAGGAGTATGCGAAGGCGATGTTGCCGAAGGCCTGCAGGCTGCGCCAGACCTTCTCCGTCGGAGTGACGCTGGCGCCGATGCTGATCCCGGTGAGGCTGCCCTGGAACCCGCCGTTGGCGACGGTCTGCATGACGCCGAGCACGAGGCCGATGGTGGAGTAGGTGAAGGACATGACGGCGGCGACGATGGAGAGCCACCATATCTGGTCGAAGTCCGGTATCTGCGAGAAGACGACCTCGGCGACGCCGAACAGGATCATGTACGGGTTGCTGGAGCTCCGGCACGCGTGCCGGTGGCCCTTGGCGTGGAAGCAGTCCGCCCTCTTGATCGCCCTGCAAATTCAGATGATGAGATTGAGATAGAAGTAGTGGATATTGGTTAATTAATTAATCAAAGCAATTACGTACAGCATGCTGATGGATGCGGCGATGGTGTAACCGATCGCGACGCCGAAGAGGTTGGCGTACTGGATGGCGCCACAGAGCGTGACCTTGGCGCCGCCGAGGCTGGCGCGGACGGCGTCCATATAGGTGTAGTTGCGCTTGCCGGCCACGGGGTCGCCGGAGCGGTAGCACTCGGCGAGCAGCGTGGAGGTGTAGTAGATGACGACGGCGAAGAGCAGCATGACGGCGGGGCCGGCCGCCCAGCCCAGCTGCGCGATGGCCCACGCCAGCGACAACACCCCGGAGCCGATCACGGCCGTGATGATGTGCGCGCTCGCCGTCCACACCGTGCCCGTCCGCCGCGGCCGCCCGTCGTCGTCGCGCCACTCCGCGTCATCGCCGCCGCGGGCCTCCACCAACGACACCTCGTTGAACGGGGCCTTCTTCGCCACCATTTCTCCGCCCGATAGCGATAAGAGCCTACTACTCCTAGCGGTGGTGTTCTTGATCGGCTAGCGCTTCGCTCTCTTGTGATTGATGGGTTTGTGATGTGTGGGGAATGAACGGGGGAGAAGGGGAGGGGAGGTATATATAGAGACGAGGAGACGGCGTGTGGGTAGCGGGCGGTGGCTGCCCGTGGCCGGGCGTCCGCGTGGATGGTCAGCCAGAGCATCATCAGCCATCAGGAAGGGACATGGCTTTTCCAAGCTCCCAATACATCCCTTCCACTTGGCGCTGCCAACGGTGGCACCTGGCACCGCTACTGTGGCCACCTCCATGCAGACCACTCTTCCAGTCTTCCTACACTCCTTCGTAGCATGCTAGTGCTAGGGTAACGACTAACAACCTTCTCTTTATTTCTCCTGAAGTCAGCGCTCTCTGTCTTTAGCTAATCACTCGACGGTGCAAATAAATGTGTAGAAATCCGAATTATCTGAATCCATATATGTTAAAACTTGTAATATGGATACATGTATTCGTATCCAAAACATGGATATTAAATGGATGTATCCGAATTTATTTTTCAGTATTTTTCTCTATCTGATTTCCAGATCCGTATTCGAAAAACAAAATAGGGCATATCTGACATGTATCTGTTTGCGCGAGGAACAGAATCTATTCAAAAGTTTCCTCTCTTGACTAGTGACTAATTATTTAATTTTAATATTAATAATGATGCATTGAAACTATTTAGTAGTATATCTTAAGCAACTTTTAATATTAATTTAATACTATTAATGGTACACAGATATTAAAATAATTTTAGTAATTTTCTAATTTAGTTTAAATCTAATTTGTTGTTGCAAATTATTTTAATACCTTAGATTTTTTTTGCTGATGTAAATTATTTTTATATAATTTTTTGATTTCATAATAAGTATTATATTAATAATGATTGATTAATAGATATACTTAATTATTAAATTTTAATTTATAACTATATTATTTTTTATGATTATTCTTGTCTATAGACCTACATACGTTATTCTCTATATTGTGTAGTAATTTTGTAATCATACTGTAATTGATAAAGCAAAATGGCTACCTGTTGTCTACCTTTATTGTTTAAATTTCTTCATTTAACTTATTATTTTATTAAATAATATCCATTATAATTTAGTTTACTATATTGGAGACTATTAGAAGTGTACTTTGATTTTATTTCACTTTGGTTATCGATGAACTTAGTAATAAAATTATATTCATTATGTTGAATTTAGCAATATGCACTTTGAGTTGAATTAAGTGACTGTTCGAATAAAAATTCAAATCCAAGACATTCGTTTTGTATTCGTATTCGAAAAGATCATTATCCATATTCGAATCCGAATTAAAATGCGGTAAAAGATGGCACCAGGATCCGATTCCATGCGAATCCGATCCGTTTCCATCTCTACACATATGGGTGAAAATGGTACGGATATTTTTTGACCGTATTCGAGATCGAATCCGTTTAGAGGGGTTGTCCGTATCCGAGTCCGGATATTCAGCATCCGATACCGTATCTCTATCTAAATACTCAAATCGCATATTTATGATGTCGATATCTAGTCGTATCATATCCGGCATGATTGATACTATCCGTATTCGGATCCGAATCTGGACAGAAATATGAAAACAAATGTAATATAAATGATATCCGTTCGTATTTGATCCGTTTTCATCCCTACCTACACATGCTCCATACATTCTGATTTCTAAATTATATAAAAGTTACGTGTCTACAAAAGCAAGAACAAACTTACAAATTGTAACGGAGGGAGGAGGTGAAAAAAAAAACCAAAACTGACTTACAATTTGGGCTGTGTGTGATACGTGTATTCATGTTGTTGCACTAGTTTGTGTCACGCACGATATGTAATCGCTGTGTGAGCGAGGTGAGGACATAATGATTAGAAGGTTGAGAGGATAGGGCGTGACATGTTTGGAGGAAAAGAAAGGCAGAGGCTTTTCTGCCCTCAATTGAGATGAGCGAGGAGGGAGTAGGCCAAGTGCTTGTTTAGTTCTCAAAATTTTACAAAAATTTTCAAGATTTCCCGTCACATCGAATCTTTGATGCATGCATGAAGCATTAAATATAAATAAAAAATAAAACTAATTACACAGTTTAGACGAAATTCACGAGTCGAATCTTTTAAGCCTAATTAGACTATGATTAGACACTAATTACCAAATAACAACGAAAGTACTACAGTACCATTTTCCAAAAAAAATCGCCAACTAAACAAGGCCCAAGACGCAAGGCGATGTGGCCTGTGCGCCCTACATAGTACAGATTGGGCAACGGCATGCATGATGGCCACATGGTTCACAGTTCATCACACATGCGTGGTTTGGTGCCAATTGTGTTTCGTTTCGGGCTGTTTGAGTTGAGTTCCTTTTATGTGTCCGCAGCATTTCCTGAATGAGCTATGTCATGCATGTGCAAACTATGGTCCCCTCTGCCGAGTTTGCGAGAGCGTTCACACGCAAACTAGCTAATTAAGGAGCTCATTATTGCTTATACACAGATGCTATATGCATCGAAAGCAAAACATGACACTTCTTTCCAGAGAAGGGTGCAGTGCTACACGGGGATGAGCGGCACTGCGCCAGGGTCAATCATTGGTCACTACCAGAGCATGCATATGTACTTAAGTACTAGTCATCCTAATAGATTGAAGGAGTTCAATGTCACATTCGGAGAACCAATTAGAATGCTGTGGACTAATTGCATTTTGCGGATCCGATGAACTTGTGTTTTTGTTTGCAGAATCCAATGTGCAAGATAAAGAAGCAGACAAGCTACAGTAATTTGCTTGACGAATTCTAGTTCGTCTGATTTTGATTTTACCACAACCATTTTGACCGTCAATCTTTGTTAAACTAGAAGCAGCGCTCACAAATGGCATGGCCTCTCTACTACAGCTAGCAGTAATATGGCAGGAATGCTCCTTCATCCGGCACGCATTCTATTAGTGCCAAATGATTGATTATTTCCTTCATAGGGCAGGAAATACGACTGATTAATTAGTTACTCTATGGTAGGGTAGTAGTGTATATGGGCGTGGGGTTCACTGAACGGTACACCAAACGCCCGAACGTCCGGCGTTAGGACGCATCCGGACGCACCTCCAAAAATGGCACCCGCTTACAGAAACAGCGCCAGCATGCGTGCGCGCGTCCCCATCCGTGGCCTATCTCCTCCACACCCCCATCCCGCCACCGCGCTGCCACGCACTCCCTCTGCAAGCCCCCCTGCCGCGCCCGTTTCGCACTGCACGCGGGGCCTGCACCGACAAGAGGGGAAGGGCGCACGACGCTTCCGATTCCGATGGGCTTAGCCGCGGCGTCGTATGGATGCCCTGCCTGCTCCGGGAGAGACGATGCAGCATAAGGTGGGGAGGAGAGATGCAACAGCCGATCTACTTTTAAAACATCATAATACAATAGTTGCAACACACGTCTAAAGACAGTTAAAGCACTTGAAACATATTTCCTAACACTTGAAAAAAACACATGAAACACACTTGAAAACCATGGCAATCATATGCAACATCCAAATAAAACACATGCAACGTATTTGTGAAACATATGCAACGTCCAGATAAAAACACTAGCAACATGCATCCGGAAAACACGGATGAAACATACCTCTGAAATATCTAAAACACTCGAAACATACACTTGCAACATGCCTCTAAGACAATTGCAACATATGCAACATCCCTCGATCTACTTTTACAATATCCATGAAACAAATGCGTCATACACCTGAAACGTCTGAAACACATGAAACATACATATGCAACATAGGGGAGGAGAAGGCTACGCCGGTCGATTCTGGCGGCTTCTCCGGAGCCTGGGCATCGCCGGTGGTGGCGACGAGGACTGCCGCGACGGTGCGGGGGCGCCTCCGCCCCCGCGGCCTAGACTCCACGGTGCTCGCCACAATACCGGTGGTAGTGGTCGATATGGGCGCGGGGAAGAGGAGGACGTCGGGGGTGGGGGGGAAGGAGCCGCTGCCGGCCAGAGAAACAACGATGGCCGCGTCGTCAGGTGTGGGGCAGGACGCGAAGGGATAATAATGGAGAGGGACACGAGCACTGCAGGAGTGAGCAAGGCATCCATCCGTCTGGGCGTCTTAGTCATATCATTCTATCGTTCACTGAAACTTTCTCATTCTTTCCGACGGTGACCTACCAATCGCGTTGACTTTGCAGCCAGAAGAAGAAAAGGCGATGAGAGACTAGCGTTGACCTAGGTTGGACCGACGACGACATCACATCCCCATTCCCGCGCTGGTTTGCAGGAATGCCTACGTACGTAGGCTGACACGTGGCCCTGGGTTGTTCGGCACAACAGTGCGCTGTCCGCTGTGGTGGCCAAGTGGCAGGTCGCTAGTGGCAGTGACACAAACCCCGCCGCGCCCACCGGTCGATCTCATCCGTCGTCGCCGGGTCCACCAAGCTGGGGCAACTCTTATTGCGAACGCTACAAATTAAACCAAAGTTGAAAGTTGGGCAGGGCGAGCGAGATCCGCAAAACCGTGAACAACAGAGCCCAAAATACTCGGAGTCTTGAAATATGACCTGAGTTGTGATGGCAACAGATGGTAGCGAGCACGTACGGTGGAACAGTCGTTTGCAACAGGTGAGCACGAAATATGTGCGCGCGTGTGGTCGTGGATATCGCATCCATCAGATAAGCGTCTCCGGCCATCCTGCCGCGCTCCATCGATCTACCGCACTGAGGACCATCAGCGCCGCCAGCGTGTGTATATACGTACGTACGTGCAAGTCGGTCTTACGCACACGAGCGTCCGCTCCACGATATGGATAATGCTAGGTAAACCCCGTACGCCACTGCGAGCCGCCACACACATTGCAATATGCTATACCAGCTTTTGCTTCTCCCTTTAACCAGCCTAGTATACACGTATATACTGTTACATGCGTGCAAGTACATTTCGGGC